CAAACTCAAGTAAATACCACACTATATATAGGCACAGGCCCTCTCACACTCACAAAAACCATCATTTACCTGAAATCCTGTGTAAGTTTACTGTGATGTTTTGGATGTTTCAGCATTGCCACAATATGATCAGATGCACTTTTCACTGCTTTTGAACATCCACTGTTATACGTGTCTAGAGATTGTTGAAGAACTTCTAAGTACTCTATAAATATGAAAAAAGGCAGCGCTGTTAGTATGACTTAATCTTAACCATTAAAAATATAATTATTTTAAGTATATAATTATGTTTTTTATAAAGCAATAAAGTAACAAAAAAGCAGAACACTGTAATTAGAAAGAATTCTGCCAGAATATAAGAAGAAATGCTTGAAAACAGATATTTATAACCATGTTATACAAATCTTAAACTGGGACATTCATTTACTCTTCAAAATATGAAGGTATAGAAATGTCTGAATTATATCGCTTTCAGGATTTTAGGGCAAGATAAGTTTCTAGCAAGACTACAGAAATCTGACAGGGATAATGATTGAATATTTGTTTACCTTGAAAAGTTCAAATTTAAAGGAAATTTTACTCAATGTATATCTCCTATTTGCAGGGCTATTTTATTTTTTATTCAAAAGCAAAATAATAAGTGGTATAGTGAATGATCTAATGTCTCTTCTAGCCATAGTCTGTAACTCCCACCAAACAACATTTCTGCCCTAATGGGTCCAGGTAAGAGAAGATGGGAGAAGATACTCGTAAGATGACATGATTCAGCTATGGATGTTAGAAGTGTTCATTGTAACTGTAAAAACTCAGAGCTCTAGCATGGGTATACAATGCACTATCTCAGAAGCAGAAGTGGAGACCTCACTACCATGAAAGAAAAGCCAGGAATGGAATGTGTCCTTTGGACCCCAATATTCCTGCACATTGAACCTCTTCTACCCAGGGACAGAAAGCTGTAACACCAGAAGAATGGAAGAAGAGCAGCTATAGAACCAAGAAACCAAGCATGAGATAGAGCAATGGACTTCCCGTTCTACAAAGCAAGTAAAGCTGACTGACCATGAGCAGGAAGCTTGCTTGTAGAGAGGGGAAGCTAAAACCCAGTGCCTTCAGACTAAGGGTTATGGCAGAATGGTGTGGACTGTGGGAAACTGTGCCCTGAATACTATTGACCCCAAAGTATAGCCTGTGAACTTCCCTAATAAACCCCACAACTGTTGAGTCGGGTGTCTGAGTCCTATGTGGCCCATGCAATGAGTTATCCAACCCAGTTGAATTGAGAAGATTGTGGAGGAACTGTTAGGTGCCACAGTATTTTTGAAACAAAACCCCCCAAAATGTGATTAAGTAGAAATTATATATTTTATTCATATTTATGGAAACATATTTGTAGAGTCCTTGTGGCACTGTAGAATAAAGCACTGGATTGGAAAATCAGTTTGAACTGCCATGTTGGTGGTTCAAACCCAGCAGTGAAGCTCTTCTTCAGAAACCCTAGACAGGGTTGCTATGAGTTGGAAATGACTCGATGGCATCTAACAACAACAATAGCAACAAAAGTACCAATGAAGAGTATTTATCCCCCTGGAAAAAGCCTAAGGCCATAAGTTACAAATGGTTTATTGTAAAGTCAGGTGGTATTGTTTAATATCATGGAGTTGGGTAGTGACCCTATAGGGTTTCCAAGGAGTGGTTGGTGGGTTTGAACCACTGACCTTGTAGTTAACAGTCTGTTGGTTATCTGACAGCGCCACATCAGGACTCAAAAGTCAGGTAGTTGTTAAGTGCCATGGAGTCGGTTCCAACTCATAGAGACCCTGTATAGGGTTTCGGAGGCTTTAAAGCTTCTCAGGAGCAGAAAGCCTTATCTTTCTCCCATGGAATGGCTGGTGAGCCTGAAGTGGACATTGTGGTTCGCAGTCCAGTGCTTATCACATGGTGCCAACCACTCACAGGTCCACTGTCAAGCCTGCCAGCTGCTCCATGGCAGAAAGATAAGATTATATATATATATATCTTGGTTGCTGTTAAGTGCCGTTGAGTTGTTTCCAACTCATAGAGACCCTATATAGGTTTCTGAGGAGCAAGTGGTGATCTTGAACTGTGGAACTTGAGGTTCAAACTGACTTTGCAGTTAGCACATTAATTGGCAGAACCACACCAAGACTCCTTTATGTATGGTAGTGTAGTGGTTACAAATCAGGCTGCTAACCTCAGGGTCAACAGTTCAAAACTACCAGCTGTTCCGCAGGAGAAAGATGATGCTTTCTGCTCCCGTAAAGATTTACAGCCTCGGAAACACTGTACAGGGTTGTTTTGAGGCGGAACCAACACCACCACACATAACAACAACAACAACAACAAATATATAGAGAGAGTACTGGTGTGGTGCTGCAGGAGACTTTGAGCTGCAAGGTCTGTGGTTCAAACCCACCAGTAGCTCCTTAGAAACACTATACAGGGACTCTATGAGTGGGAACTGACTTGACAGCACTTAACAGCAACAATATATATATATATTTTTTCATGTATATGTATATATGAAAAAAATGGTTTATGTGTTTTATATACATACATACACACAAAAATACACATATATACATCAAAACAAATCCATTGTATTGAGTCAGTTTCAGCTCATGGTGACCCCATGTGTATCAGAATAGAACGATGGTCCGTAGGGTTCTCAATGACTTGAATTTTCAGTAATTCTTCCACGGTTCCTACGGATGCATTTGAACCTCGGATCTTCTGGTTATCAGCCAAGCATGTTGAACTTTTGTGCCATAGGATTCTAATATATCAACTCACCAAAAAAATCAACTTTTGCTATAACTGGTGCACTGCTGCCCACTGCTGCAGCAAAAAGTTTGGGGTATTTCATTCTAGACCACACTGCTAGGGAGCCTCCATAGGAACAGCCAAATGTCACCCATTTATTTCTTCTGAGCCCCATTTCCTTGGCCATTTCAGTTTGGAAGTAGACAATGTCAGCCAAGGCTTGTTTGCTGCTGAGGTAGCGGAGACTGACAATATTCACATTTCTGCAATTAAAGAATAAAAACACTCAGTTTGTGACAATAATGAAGGTAGAAAATGTACAGCTTAACATTATTTTGACTATCAAGTGAAAATGTGTATTTTGAAAGCATGTTGAGTGATTATACCACGTCCTATTTGAAAATTAATTGACTTGGATTTAATCAATAAGTCCACATTTGCTTGGAAGGATGGCTGGAATACATAGTGTTTACCCTGCGTAGCCATGTGTTCTAGTAAATTTCAGGGATTCTAGTAAATTAAAGATGAAAAGGAGAGTGGATATTAGGGAGAAATTAGTAGGTTCTGCTGTAACTTCTAAGTAATTAAATTACAGAACTAAAGAAAATATTTTGCCCATTGAAGGACTTATTCTATGAGGCTCAATTTCTTCCAGACAGATTCTACTCTTTCACATATCAACAAGTTTATAGTAGGAAGCCTGCCTCTTCATATTCATGCTACTTTTTGTTGTTTGTTGTTGTTAGGTGTCATCGAGTTGGTACCGACCCATGGCGACCATATGCACAGCAGAACGAAACACTGCCCGATCCTAGGCCAACCTCACTATTGTTGCCACACTTGAGTCCATCGATGCTACAACTTGGCCAATCTGTCTCGCTGGGGGTCTTCCTCTTTTTCTCTGACCCTCCACCTTACCAAACATGATATCCTTCTACAGCACCTGGTCCCTCCTGACAATATGTCCAAAATATAAGAGATGAAGTTTGGCCATCTTGGCCTCCAAGGAGCACTCTGGCTACACTTCTTCCAACACAGATCTGTTGGTTCTTTTGGTAGCCCATGGTACTTTCAATATTCTCCTCCAATACCATAACTCAAAAGCATCAATTCTTCTACAGTCTTCCTTATTCACTGTCCAGTTTTCGTATGCATATGAGGTTATTGAAAATACCATGGTATTTTCAGGCACACCTTAGTCTTCAAGCTGACATCTTTGCTCTTCAATACTTTAAAAGGTCTTGTGCAACAGATTTGCCTATGGAATATGTCGTTTGATTTCTTGACTGCTGCTTCCAAGATTGTTGATAGTTGATCCAAGAAGAATGAAGCCCTTGACAACTTCAATCTTTTCTCTGTTGAAGAGAATGTTGTTTATTGGTCCAGTGTTGAGGTCCACTTGTCTGTCAGTTTGTCGTACTGTGGTGGCTTGTGAGTTGCTGTGATTCTGGAAGCGATGCCATCGGTATTTTAAATACCAGCAAGGTACCCATGGTAGACAGGTTTCAGATGAGCTTCCAGACGAAGACAGATTAGAAAGAAGAAGTGATGAACTACTTCTGAATATTTAGTCACTGAACACCTTATGAATAGCAGAGAAACACTGTCCTACCTTGTTAGCAGTGAAAAAATACCGTTACATTGTGAAATCTGTGTTACATTGACAATAGAAAGGGCTAAAGAGTTTGATGTGTTTGCTGATTATATTAACATCTTTGATCAAAAATGTTTGCTGAACAAATTCCAACGAGATGGATTGGCACAGTGGCAGCAGTGATGGGCTCAAGTGTAGCAATGATTGTGAGGTTGGCCCAGGACCGGGAAGTGTTTTGTTCTGTTGTGCAGAGGGTCGCTATGAGTCAGTACCAACTCGATGGCACCTAACTACAACAGGAATTTGAAAATGTAGTCATCAGAATCTGATGCCAGTGACATGTAATTACAGGAAGAAGAAATGATGGCTGGATATCCCCCCCCCCTCATTTTCTGTCCTTTTTTCTTATCAACAGTATGAAGGGGCTTCAAATGTCCATGGGCTTTTCTCATGGACTGAAGTGAGCTACAGTTGTCCATTTACTACCCGGGCTCACAGAGGAGCCCACTTGTGAAAAGGTCAAAGTGTCAGTGGTTTGTTTCCAAGGCATTAGGAAAGCCCAGGGTTAATCATAGTGACACTACTTCACATTATTTCTAGTTCCATTCTAATGAAAACAGTTTTACTTTTCAATGCTGTTATTTCTATAATAAGTTTTCCTAACACCTAGGATAATTTAAATCTTTATTAGTAAAACAAAAAACTTCTTTGCTCTGAATGATGTAATTTATTGATTATTAATTTAAAAATGAATGAAAATACAGAATATTCACAAAGAAACACAAGTGATCAGCAAATTTATCAAAATCTTTAGCCCCTTCTATTGTCAATGTAGCAAAAATATCACAATGTAACAATATTTTTGCACTGCTATCAAGGTAGCAAATATTTCTTTTAATACTTAGTGGGGGCATGACTATGAAGAGGCAGGCTCTCTACTATACTACTTGTTGATATGTGGAATAGTAGAATCTTTCTGGAAGAAATCTATCCTCATATAATAAGAACATCAAGGAACAAAATATTTTCCTTGGTTCAGTAATTTAATTACTTAGAAGTTATAGCAGAACCTGCTAATTATCCCCTAATAGCCACTTTTCCTTTCCTCTTTAAACAAATGAAGCCCTGAAATTTAGTTGGACACACGGCTACACAAGGTAAACTTGTATCTCAGCCGTCCCTCCAAACAAATGTGGACTTATTGATTAAACCTAAGTCAGTCAATATAATTGCAAAATTATAGACAAAGTTCATTGAAATACTCAATCATAGAATCCCTTCACCTGATAACAGCAAATTCTAGAGAAAAATCTCATACCTTGATCCTCTACCACAGCACAATGAAAAGCCAAAGCATTTTATAATTCTAATAACCTCTTCCTCCACTCGTCTGTCTGTTATAGTGTAATGATTTGTATGTTGGTTTGATGGTGGAAGCTATGCCTTCAGTATTTTATATATCCTCTGAGATGTACCATGTAAAGTAAATTTGGGTAGCAATCAGGTAATTTGCTATAGTTACTTGATATAATATATGTTAAAGGAAATTCAAGAGTGGAATCATTTTGCAGAGCAGTTTATGTTCTAAGAGTGATTCATAAAGAAAGTTCAGACTTAAAACTATGTATAGGCTACCATAACATCATTAACACATACACACTCAAAAGTTTCTAATTAAAAAATTAAAACTGATGGAATTATCGACAAGACATCTAACTACCATAATTTAAGTGATTTGGAATTTAAAAATCACACTGGTGGGATTAGTGATACAAAAGAATCCATGAAACTTTTAGTTATTATCTGTAATGATAAACAGTACTAAGAATTATGAGGCAAATGAAAGAAGTAACATTTTACTGACACTAATCCTATTGTCATGGAGCCCTGGTGTGGTGCTGTAGGGTAAACCATAGACTACTAACTGCAAGGTTAGAGGTTCAAACCCATGAGTCACTCCTCAGAAACCCTTTATAGGGTCACTATAAGTCAGAACTGACTTGGCAACACACATGACAATCTGAATCTCACGGCTATAAAAATCAATATTTATTTTAATGACCATAAAAGATTTTGACATTAAATTTGATTTTTTACAATCTTCTGAGTCGCTTAAACTCCATTTTATTTGTTTGACTTTTTATAATGAATAGCTTATAATTACAACAAATAAGTTTAAAATATGCTTTTACTGGGGAGAAACCCCAAATAGCAGACAGAGGATAAGTTATTGAAGCATAAATGGGCCTAGTACTTTTGCTTCTTTCTCTGCTCCTGTGATGAAATTGAATAATCACATTTCATGGTTTTTATACATGTTGTTGTTGTTAAGTGTTATCGAGTTGGTTCCGACCCATAATGAGCCTGTATAGGATTTCTGAGGAACGGCTGGTGGGCTTGAACTACTGATCTTGAAGTTTAAACTGACCTTGCAGTCCAGTACATTATCCTGCAGCGCCACACCAGGACTACAACACATAATATAGTACATGATTATATAGTTTATTCAAAGAAAGTTTTATGTGAATTTTTATATCAGCAGCATTGCTTCTATGCCCAAACACCAACTGCAGTTATTTTTTCTTACCATTTGACTTTACAAATATTCAGCTTGCTGATGGAGAAACATTTAGAGTTAACAATGTCAATATTAAAAAGAGAGTGACAACAACAACAACAAACAAACAAAAAACAGTAACAAGTAACCCCTTAAACTTACCCTGTTGGTTGACTTTGTCCATAAAATCTGTGTTCAAGAAGGAAGCAGAGGGCACCGAGTCTCTGAGCATAGGTAATCCAGGTATAATTACTTGTTATCCAGTCTATATTGGTATCCTTTGAGCCTTCAATAAACAGAAACACTGGGCCTCCACGTTTGTAGAAAGCATCATTCATATAATATCTCTGTGAAAGTAAAATTGTCTTTTGGCTGAATGAATCATCAGGATTTGTTACCTGTACTTTCTGATAACTGGGAGGCAGCATCATTTGGTCTGTCAGATTTGAATTATAGCCCTGAGAGCCCATCTAAATCAATGATGTTGTTCAAGTCACCCTGCTTAGACACTGGACAAACTTATAGTTTGTTTTGGTGTAAAAATAATCACGACATTAAAATGACCATTTCATCTACTTCTAAATGCACAGTCCATGATGTAAGTCACCCACACAATGTGCAACCATCAGCACTGTTTGTTTACATTTCATGCTAATATTGCAAATTAAAATTTACAACATGGGAACTTTATTTTTTATTTCAATTTTATATCTAGTTCCTATTATTCTGAAAGTTTGGATCCTTAAGATTAGCATAATTATTTGTTTATATCAATAATACTGAGGAAAAGCATATAACAGTCTGCTTACATAGATGGATACCCACACATCCACATGGGATAATTCAACCCTGTCTTTAGAGCCACTATAAATCATAATTGACAAGTAACAATGTTTTTTTATGCTAATAAAATGTAGTAAAACACACATATAATAATAATAATAATACCTATATTTTAGGAACCTTGGTGGAACAATGTTTCAGTGTTTGACTGGTAACTGAAAGGTCAGTATTTTGAAACCACCATCCATAAAAGGGTAGAGGGACCTTATGATCTGCTCCCATAAAGACTTTGGTTATCATTACGAATCCTAGGTGTGGCATAAACTCTAAGCCTTTGACAAGTAGGAGAATGGTTGATGGTTTCCGCCCTTCCAGAGGCAACTCAGAAGAAAAGTGTCCTGATCTGATTGAAAAAGGTCGTAACCTTGAGAGCCCTGTGCAGTGCAGTTCTAGTCTGCATATGTAGATAAGGTCACCATGAATCTGGATCGACTTAATGGCAGTTGGTGCTTGATTTGGGGTTACATCATTCAGCTAAGGCGTCATTAGCATGAGCTTTAAGCAAATAGTAGTGGTGGTTGAATGTTATGAGTCTGATTTCTGTCATTGGATTATGCACTTGGAAGTGGTTGAAATGACCAATAGTATAACCAAATCTAAATCAGTTTGTTTGTTTGTGTGCTTTTTTGGTTACTTTGTCAATTTGACTTTGGATCCATGCAAATATTTTAGGTAATTATATAAAAATTTAAATTTAGCAAAGTCAGATTTAAAAAAATAACAAAATGAAACATGTAGATACACATTGCATGTAATTGTTTGAATAACCACCCAGAGAGGAATAACTTTGAGTGACTAGAAAGCCAGTAATTTGACTATATATCTTTTGTAGAATCACCATTTTGAACAAAGAGATGGCAAAGAAAAAATGTGCAATACTCTCAGTAATTGTATTATTGGTGATAATGTGGCTATTATTACCATGACTTTGCTGTATAGTGTGAGGCAAAGAAAATGAGTCATGGGGCACTAGTCTAAATCTATTAACTTAATGTGTTTTTACAATCTGGAAAATACATAAGTCAAGGATTCACACTGCCAATCAAAACAAAATTGTGTTACACTGTAACCAAATTATAGATGTTGGGAAGTCTCTCTCTCTATATATAATATTTTTATAATAGATATCTTTAATAAGTATGTAGTTATTAACTGATTTATATATTAATATAAATATATATTAATTATAT